TATTGTTTTTTGAGATTCAAAAAGTGCTTAATTTTTATATACATAGCTAGCGGATTCTGTAAAATTGCTCTCGAGTTGAATAAAATTAGTAAAATTGTTAATTTTCAGAAACATTCTGAACTTTCACGGTGGACTGCGTACAAAAAATGTCTGGATTTGGTGCTAAAGAAGACCGATGACAAAAAAGCAAATGCAAGAGATGCTGTCAGACATCACGAACTTCTGATGAAATGTGGATTCTTCGATGTCTACCTTCAATTCGACGACTATCGAAAACAAAAACATTCTAAAGTCGCCTCTTGGACCGATGAGGACATCAATTTGATTCGTGATGCGGCAGAACAATACTTCCACCGTCTTCATGATCTGAAGAGAGGAAACCAAGAATTCGATTTTATTTGCAACTTCGAAGACAAAGATCTCGAATTAGGAGGCATATCTAATAGTACACTGGCATTTGTTCGGATCCATGGTGAAGACTTCGTTTCGAAGTTCTACATCAAGTATGTTTTCGATTCATTCATTCAAGATCCGTTTTTGTTTTTTCCTATTTTATTTTTATCGAAATCAAGATTGATCTGTAATGTTCAGATGTCACCATTTTGGACCAAAAGGCACAAGCTCGGGCCAGCCTCCGGACATCAACGAACTATATTGCTACAAGCTGTTGGAGCTGATCGCCGTCGGACCAACGTGCCACATTGTTCCACCCATCATCACTACTGGAACAAAAACAAGCGTGTAAGGATATATACATATTAGTAACAAGTAGCAATATATGTAGTATAGAAAGTGACTTACATACCTATGCATTTGTAGGTACATTGCTACAAAATGGGACGACAATTTTAAACTCATGGAGCACGTTATCCAAGAGAATGGTCTTACCGCTGATTTAGCCGTGCAGCTGGTTTTGCTGCGGGTGTTATTATTTATTGCTGACCTTCATCTACAAAACTGCGGTTTGTTTCAAAGTCTGAAAACCTGAATATTATTGATTTATTAATTTCAGGGGTCTGGAAAGGGACCAATAACATTGCGATTGTTGACTTCGCACCGGAAAATGAGATTACAGTTCATGATGACATCAAAGCCCAACTGTTTACAACTTTTCCACACTCAAGATGGAAAGAAGAGTTCAAAGCAGTGAAAAATAAATTGGACGACAACTCTTGGTTGAAGATAGCCAAACAGAATTTGGATAAGTGGGATTTGTCTCGTAAGATCGAACTGGCTCAAGAACAACTCGATCCCACAAAAGACGTTTTAAAAGGAATAGAACTTGTCTTTAAGAAGCGGAAATTATGCTATAGTCCCAACCTTCAACTGAAGGAATACGTCGATACATTGAACAAGAATTTAGAAAATCTTCAAATTGTTTTGAATTCCACTGTTCACTAACTGTAATCTTCGTCTTGCTGGGTTGTACTTGTCGATAGTGATCTCAGAACCATAAATAAAGCGTGTATTCTACCTCACATAGTATCTTTTGCTTTTGTTACTGAATTCATAGTTCCTACTTCTCGTGGTTGTATCGATTGTGGTGGTAAAGTGTCTCGCATGAAGATACCTCTACAATTCTTGATTTCCAATACTTCGATTAAAGCAAGGAGATCTTTCTCTAGCTTCATCATTTATTTAGCATTTTTTTTTCACCGTTCTAGCGCACTTTTTCGACCATATCGACCACTGGATTTCGACCACATTTTCAAGGTAGCGCATTTCGACCTTTTTACCATTTTCGAAAATTGTTGAAAATGACACATTTTTGGCCCAGTATCCGAGGGTACATCGAAAAAGGGTACATCGAGGGTACATCGAGTTCTTAGGGTACATTGGATCAGAGGGTACATCAGTTCTTAGGGTACATCTGGGAGGTAGGTTCAGGGGGTACATCTGGCGTTGGTTCTGAGGGTACATCGGAGAAAGGATCCCAGGGTACATCGAAAAGTTCTTAGGGTACATCAATTAAAAATTTTGTAGTTTTCAACTGGAAGATATTTTGGTATAAACTGCACTATTTTGCTTGTTTTTTTTGTCGATTTGTTTGAAAAAGTACAGTTTCTCATAGTTTTATTGATTGATTCATTTATTATAGCTTGTTTTCCTGGAGCTTATCATACTGAAATTCGCTGTACAAAAAAGGTAGAAAATTCGATTGTTATCAAAACGATTTGAGTAACTTTCAACCAAAAACTCTCTTCAAATATTCCAGAACAGGAAACATCATGAATTAAAAAATTCAAGCTCTCGGAAACTTTTCGGATTTTTATTTGGAAACATGTATCTATAAAATCACTAAAAAGACTCCAAAACGAAATTTGTTTTCAATTTCACAGAAACAAAGAATGAGGATGGGGTAGGGTTTGAACTCGCGTCTGCAGTTTGTCGTGCACGCACGCTCACCCCTAGACTACTTCACCGATTTTCACCTTGCCCACCGCGACCCGTACATATCTTCGGTGGTTTCTAAAGCAGGAAGAAAGTTTGAAGGTGGAATAGCAACGATTTCCGGAAGGTTTTCCAAGACAAGACATGTAAACGAGTACTGGCTAGTTGAAACTCCTGAAAATTAGGGCTGAACTTCCCGTATTCTTAGTTTTCTCTCTGTTTTATTTTTCTGTAGGTTTCGAATTCTGTGGAGACGAAACGAAAACCGATGAGAGCTTGAGAGTCTTGATGAGAATGCAGAAATCCCGATTTTAGACAGCAAAACTATGAAACATCTCATTTTTTGTCTTCCCAAATTAGTGAAGAGCTCAAAAATAGGGTAATTTTGTCTGAAGCTTTCAATTTTTAGGCCAGGTCGTTGAGTTCAGTGGTTTCCGTCGCTGTGTCCAATCGCTCGCTTCCTTGTCTTATCTGCCTGTGCTTTAAAAAAATTTTTATATTTCCAAATAAAAATCCGAAAAGTTTCCGAGAGCTTGAATTTTTTAATTCATGATGTTTCCTGTTCTGGAATATTTGAAGAGAGTTTTTGGTTGAAAGTTACTCAAATCGTTTTGATAACAATCGAATTTTCCACCTTTTTTGTACAGCGAATTTCAGTATGATAAGCTCCAGGAAAACAAGCTATAATAAATGAATCAATCAATAAAACTATGAGAAACTGTACTTTTTCAAACAAATCGACAAAAAAAACAAGCAAAATAGTGCAGTTTATACCAAAATATCTTCCAGTTGAAAACTACAAAATTTTTAATTGATGTACCCTAAGAACTTTTCGATGTACCCTGGGATCCTTTCTCCGATGTACCCTCAGAACCAACGCCAGATGTACCCCCTGAACCTACCTCCCAGATGTACCCTAAGAACTGATGTACCCTCTGATCCAATGTACCCTAAGAACTCGATGTACCCTTTTTCGATGTACCCTCGGATACTGGGCCCACATTTTTGAAGAGGTAAGACTTGTTTATGTTAAAAATAAGCCTTAAAATGGCTTAAAAATGAGAAAATTGAGGATGGGCGAAAAGGTGCGCTAGAACGGCAAAATACATATTATTAAAGAGAATCAAGAAGTCATCAACGAAAGAAGTCATCAACGGAAATTGTCATCTTGGTGTTGGATGACGAAGATCTTGTAAATGTTCGATTGTTTCTCTGTCCGCTGTTGTTAATAAATATGATTTATGAAAAACCAGTCGAACGATATTTATTTATCTCTCTAATTCAAATGATCTAACATCAGTACAGTATACTAAAACATGAATTATTATAATTCAATCTTTGATTCCTCTCGATTGCTCGAATTTCTTCAATTCCTTCTCCACCAAATCATCTGATTCATCCTTCACTTCGATCACTTCTTTGACTTCTGGCACGTAGAATGTCAGCATATTCTCAATTCCATTCTTCAGAGTCACTCCTGACGATGGACATCCTGTACACGATCCTTGCATCTTCAACTTCACAACACCATCATCGAATCCGACATAGGTGATGTCACCGCCGTCTTCTTGAACCATCGGTCGAATTCGGGTCTCCAGAATCTCTTTGATCATCATCACCACCTCGTTGTCATCTTCTTCGGCTTCTCCGGCAGTTGCCGATGCTTCATTGATCACTGACTTTCCGGTCTGAAGATGATCGGCGATGGTGGAGAAAATTTCCGGACGAAGAAGAGCCCAATCCACGGTTTCATCGGATTTCGTGACGGTGATAAAGTCTTCGCCGAAAAAGACACGTTTCACACCGTCGACGCGGAGCAGTTTTCTGGAAAAAAAGCAAAAATATGAAGGAAAAGTCTCAATTCGGACGAGATGTTTCGGACGAGATTTCATGGGATTTCGGTAGCTTGAAGTCCGCAACCACCGATGTGATGCAATTGCGGAGCTATAAAAAAACATGCCAGGGTGACTTAATGAAAATATAAGGTTTTTAGATGTTTTTTGGGGGCAGCGAAATTCTCTTACATCGCCAATGGACTCTGCTTTGCCGTGGCTGCCGAGCTGAAGTCGTACGTCTTCGAAGCGTCTGGTAGAAGCTGTTGGCCTAAAACTCCATTTTTTCATAAATTTATTTTTTTTTCAGTTTAACCTGGAAGAAATTTCAGCGAAAGCGGATTCGGCGTCTCTTGCACTTGAATATACATCGATCTTGCTGCTTGGATGACATTTCTGCTAAGTCTTGATAAAGTTTTTGCTGCGAGCATTGTGAATAGCTAGAAACCGTTGTTTTTTCATATTTTTAAAACCTAACTACCAAAAGTATTGGAAACACGACCCCCTGGTCAACAAAACAACAAAAAACCAGAGATAAGATGGTGTCGAAATTGCTATTTATAGTCAACATTAAGTGAATACACTATAAATATAATCAGGTCCCCGAGACGACGACATGATGGGGGTAGAGATATTGAGAACTCCATTCCATTTTTTCAGAGAAACGACGAGTAAAACATTAAAAGTGAAAAATCAAAAGGGGCGGGGAACACATACTTTTTCACATGAAAATCAGAGGGCGGAAGAGGTGGAGCATCGAAAAGAGGCGATTATCCGTTTCTTTGGGGTACAAATATGTGGAGTTTGGTGATGATGATAAGACACAACAAAAGTGGATAAACTACTTTTGGGTTAATCAATACAACACACTCTCCTTAATTATTATAGTGGGGGTTCGTCATAAGAGAAACGGGAAGGATGGAGCTTGTTTTGGTTGGGTGGGACAGATCGAAGACATGAGAGCGCGCGGGGATTTGAAAGAGACTAAAAACGAACAGGGGCACATAGAAAAATAATAACGGGGATCGGATAGAGAAATGAAATACCAAAAAAAAATTAAATTAAAAGAAAAAGAAAGAAAAGATTAAAATAATGGAAAGAAACTGTACGAAAAACAAACCCGAATTTGGAGAGAGAGAGAGAGTGCAGGGGGGGGGGGGGGGGGAAACAACGCCGGAACCATAGAAAAAGAAGATCAACTAGATTGGGGTTTTGGGATGGTTTTTAAGATCCTACCGGGGAGAGAAAGAAAAAAAAACGAAAAAGATTAAAATATGATGGAGATGAATGGGACTAGAAGATTATCGGGAAAAAGAGTATAGAGCAGTTACATCCGAGAGCTGCTGTTCCAGGTGTTGCTCCATTTTTGAGGCAGCCCTTGGTTCGTTGGATTCTGCTGTTGCTGTGAACTACGCTGCTGTTGTTGTTGTTGAAGCAGCAAGCGTTGATCCCAATCGGCTCTGAATCTTCATTAATTAAGAAAAGCCTATTGAAATTAAACTAACTGAGTCAGCTGACTGAACGGTTGTGGCTGCTGTGCTCCATAGCCTGGGTACATCGGACGATTCTGTGAAGAGCCGCTGGCACTTCTGTTAAGATCTCCGAATCCAGGCGGAGCTCCTGGTGCTTGCTGAGGAACGAACGGAGGAGGAGCCGGTTGCATCATTCCAATTCGTTGAGTGCTTCCAAACGACTGTTGACCTTGCTGCATGTATCCGGCTTGTTGGTTTTTTTTCTGTTGTTGTTGCTCGTTAAACAAAGCAGCAATCACACCATCCGAAGATTGGGACTGGTCGTTCTGAAAAACAGAAATTGATTTGATTTGAGAGCTTTGGAGAGTGTTAAAAATTACAAAACAAAACATACATTGAACCCATCGAACTGTTTTATTCCTCTCTGCGACAAGGTGTTCATGTTCAATTGTCCCAAAACACTGGAATCCGTGTAGGATGGCGAGTAGTAGGGATTGGCTGACGGTTGAGATGGTCCGGGAACAGAAGAGGAATTTTCCTGACGATGCATCGACAACTGGTGAGCGAGCTGAAACTAGTTTTCTTTTGTGTATCTCATTTCCACTTCTTCATACTTACCATATCATATGGATTGCTGCCCTGTTGTCCCAAATTCATCGCCTGAAGCTGGCTCAGCAATTGCTGTTGGGTGCTAGGCATCATGGACGATTGAGACGGATGTGACTGCGACGAGAATTGAGGTTGCTGGAACTGCTGCGGGATCCGTGAGTGATGTTGCTGCTGCATGACCTGATGAAGGTGCGATTGATGAGGATCCTGCATTATTCTCTGTTGCTGTTGTTGATGTTGCAACGTCGATGGGTTGGACGACTGGGATCTTGCAAAGAGAGGAACTTGGCGTTGAACTGGATCTCGAGCAGTGGGGGGAGTGGCTGTAGATGGCATCCATCCTTTTGTTTCCAACGCTGATAACTGAGAGTTCACAGATGATACAGGTTGTTGTGGAGCGGAAGAGGTTTTTTGGTTGCTTGTGCCTGCCAGAAGCTGTGACATGAAATCATTCGATCCCCAGTCGCTTGTATCGTTTTTGGTTGTAGCAGTATTCAATGATGAAGCCGTTGAATTTGGCTGGAGCAAATTGGTGAACAGTCCACCCCATGTATCCTCCTCTCCGTTCGTTCTGTCTGTTCCCCATATACTCTGCACTCTGCTGTCCTCGTACATTCTGAGTTTCGAAATATCGAAATCATCAAGTGTCGCGCCATTCGAAGCCGTAGAAGTGGCCGTCGATGTTGATGGAGCTATCGACGTAACAGGAGCAGGAGCCGGAGCCGTGGGCTTGAATGCGGTGAACGGCAGACGATCCTCGAAAACGTCATTTCTGGATGGAAGCGATTGTGGTGGTGTCTGAGGTTGTACTGGGGGTCCGGGAGCACGAGAGAATTCATTGCTCAATCTAGTACCAGGAGCTTTTGAAAACGTTGGCTGTTGCTGTATTTGTTGCATGTGTTGTTGGAGCGATACTGCTGGACGGGAAATCGGATCCGGGAACCGTGGTGGCTGAGCTACTTCTTGTGGTCTTTGCTGTGGAACTGGAGTATGCTGATGAACTGGGGGTACCGGTTGAACAACTTGAGCAGGTTCACGCCTTGCTGGCGGTGCAATGACACGATCGATTGGCTGTTGAACTGAAGCTGGTGGCGTTTCTGGAATATGATCGATTCGAATGTGTTAAAAAAGCAGATTCAACTTACGGGTTGGTTTGGTGACATTTTCAGTTGCTTGAGGCACACTAGATTGAGCCAAAGACTGGCGGACAGCTGGTGAAGCTGTTTGACGGGCAGGTTGCTGGACTTGAGGTGATGGTGTTGGTTGTTGCTTAGTCTGCGTCTGTGTTGGAGGAGTCTCACCTCTCGCCGCCATTCTCTGTTGCCAAACGTTCGCACCGTCCTTTGTCGCTTGATTTCCATGTGATTTTGAGGATCGGTTACATTGTGAGGGCACTGGAACTGGAGACGACTGGCGAGCGATACTGGCCGACGACAACGAATGGGGAATCGAATGTGTAGAATCCACGGCGCTCTTGGATGTTCCTTCAGAAGAAAGAGATGAAGCAACAGACACATTTCCATGAGTAGCAGTTCGAATCGCATCGTGAATCAGAACATCTTTATCGTAGATCAGCAGATGAATTATGTTAACTGCCATGCTCACGACGTCGGCGCTTCCTCTCACAGTGATGTGTCTATCGTCTTCCTTGGAACCACAAAGCTTGTCGATCTCAATCTGAGCGAGAGTGGCTTCTCGAACGGCATTGATGTTTGATCCAGACTTTCCAATGACTCGAGAAACGATTTTACCAGGAACAGTGAACTCGTAAGCTTTTACTCCTTTCTGAAATTTCACATTTGAGCTGAAAACCAACAAAATCAAATAAAAATCTTACCGTATCCACTTCCCAAGAATGCTGTCGTTCAGAAATACTCGACGTGTTTGAACGATGTTTGGCTTGGCTGGAACCAGCACTGGATGGCGCCGTTCCTCTGCCTTCTCTCTTCGGTCTCACTTTCTTGCCCTCTTTTCCAGCCTTCTGCCAGTCTTCAGATTCGGAATACGAACCAGGAGACATCATTGGGGCTTGAACAGTTGCCGGGCTGGGAATCTTCACAACGATCGGCCTGTACGGAAGTTCAGCAGGTTCAGGTTCTTCTTCGGCAACAGGCGGAGGTGGGGGTTTTACAGCCTGTTCGGCCGCGGGTTTCGATCCTTTTGGAACACCATCAGGATTCGTTTTCCGCCTATTTCTCCGCGGCTTCGGTGGCTCTTTCGGAGGTTCTTCGACGGGAGGAGGAGTGGGTTCAAAGGCTGGTTCTTCGACGGGCTCTGTTTCTGGTTCCGGTTCTGGCTCAGGGGCGACGACAGGTTCGGGTTTTGAAGGTGGTGCAGATAATTGCTCTTGTTCAGCTTGAAACTTCTTCTTCGCTTCTTTCTTCTGTTTCTTCTTATCTTTGATTTTCTGCTTTTTGTTGATATCTCTCTCCTTTTCGTCGTCTATCAACTGAAGCAAGCGATTCGCCGTTTCTTCTGCTGTTTCTGCTTGTGCTTTCTTCGCATTCCGAATGATTATAATGCACTCGCCACACCGAGCAACGAGATCCGCACACTCAAGTGTCGATTGCATTCGGACCAAATCCGTCTCATTCGGGAACTGTTTCGCGTGTCCCACCAAGAATTTGATGATCTCGATGTGTCCTTTTCGGAACGCAGCCACCATTGGAGACATCTTTCGATTGTCAAACATATCTGTATCGGCACCCTTGAAAACGAGAGCTTGAGCAGTTCCAAGGTGACCTCCATTGCAGGCGAGCCACAGTGCAGAGCAACCCTTCTTGTTACGAATGTCATATATCACATCGTTATCCAGAAGCATTTGAACAAACTTCTCATGACCCTTCTCTGCAGCTATCGTTAGTGCTGTATCTTTTGTGGATTGAACCGGAGATGCATTCGGATCGGCACCATTCTCTATCAAAAGATTGCCGACATCGACGTATCCGCCACTCGCACATTCCATAAGAGGAGTGAGTCCAGTTTTGGCTCGGTGTTCGACGTTCGCGTTGTAACAGAGGAGCAATTTGACGACTTCAAAACGGCCTTGGAAACTGGCGAGTGTGAGGGCGGTATTTCTATAAAAAAGGTAGCTGAAAATAGCCAAAAAGACGACTGAAAAGCTCTTACCTGTTCGTCTCAATTTGAGCATTGATATCGCTTCCTTTTTCCAATAGAACTTTGGTCGTTTCTTTGTGTCCATTCATGGCAGCCAGCATCAGTGGAGAAATACCGAGCTTACTACCTGTTCTGGAGTTGATTTCGGATCCGGCGGTTAGGAGCAAGTTCACGATATCCAGGAAACCACTAGAAGAGGCTAACGACAATGGTGTGTAGTCGCTAACGTTCCGATGCTCTTTGTTGGCTCCATGTGCAAGCAACATCTCAACAACATCCTTCCGACCAGCAGTACATGCTAGTGAGAGGGCTGTATCTTTTGTTCGGTCTGATTGTGCTTCAATAGCGGCATGATTTTTGAGAAGGACCTCGACTATAGGAGCATGTCCATATGTCGCTGCAATGATTAGTGGTGTGAATCCTTTCTTGTCTCGATGCTCAATATTCGCTCCTTCTTTCAGCAACAACTCAACGACCTCGCGATGTCCATTCGAACAAGCAATTGATAGTGGGGTTTCCAGTGTGGAGTCTGTTGCCTTATCGATAACATTTGATCTGGCTTTCGCTCGTTCTGTACCGTCACCTTCGGAATGTGTTCGTCTGAGTTGTCCCTGCTGCTGCTGGCCTTGTTGTTGCTGCACTTGCGTGTTGTTCGCTGGTTTTCCCATCAGTAGTTTACCGGCGGCGGAAATCTGCAAAATTAGGAGTTTAGATCGGGCGATTAGAAATATTAAGCGAACCTGAGACCCCACGTTGGCAGCTGATGTTTTTCCTTTCTTCTGTTCGGCAGCCTTCAACTGTTGACTACCTTTATCTCGATTTGATTTGTCATAGAAAGCAGTATCGGCTGTTTCTCGGAAAAGTTTAATATATTCCTCCTTGAGACGTTTATCGGACACTGAAATAAGCAAAAGAATTTAAATGAAAGTAGAAGTAGAAGCTAGCAGCAAAATAAAGGAAAGACACAACACAACAACGAAAAAAACCGTACAAGTTCCGACAGAACGCTGCAGCAGGTTGGTGCCAGATTCACTGTTGATTGTGCTTTTTACTCGAGTCATAACTGCAGCTCTCTGCTTCTCGGACATGCCCGAAAGCAGTCTCTTCAGGATGCGATCGCCAGCTAAAAAATGGTTTTAAAGTTATTCAACTACGATTTCTATTTCTTTCTGAAAAAATATCAGCTAAAAACAACCATCTCATTTTCGCACGCTATTTTCCTGCCTAATCACGAGGGAACAAGTACGAATATTTCGCCTAAAAGCGCATAAAAAGACTCTCGATTGGCACATCATTCTAAAAAAGTGCAAAACTCGGAGGGAAACGACGGAAATTAGGTAAAACATCTCCGTTTTCTCGCGGAAAGAGGCATCAGAAAAGTAAAAGAGAAAAAACAGTCAGGTGGAGAAAGCTAGGCCACCCGCCGCAGACGCAGTCGGCCATCCGTACATCGACGCCACAAACGAGAGCTATTAATGACGAAACAGACGAATTTAGCCGGAAATTTCAGTGAAACTTTGAATTTGATCTACTAATTTGACTGCCGGTGTATTTCTTTGGTTTTTTCGAAAGTCTATTTCCCGCGCCGCTCCTCTCTCTCCGCGCGGAACACACAAGAAATTGTATTTTGACCGAGAGACGCAGAGATATATACAAGTCAACGTGTTATTCAAAAAGGGCCATGTGTATGTGGGGACCCGTCTGCGTTCACTCTTCGTCGAGAATAGAATCGATAGTCTGAAGCGAAGTGCCCTCGTGAAAAAGCCGGGGCGCGTGCTCTTGTGCTCTTCTTCGTTGCCTAGTAATAGTAAAGGTGATATAAATAGGCGCATACATTCAACATTGAACTCTTGGCTGTATTTTTCTGGCAGGGTGCTTGCTATGTAGGCAGTGGTGACAGCAATCTCTCGGGACACATCCGTCTGATTAGCACGATACAGCCTCTCCATGTCAGCAGCCAACTTTAGGACACCCGGATAGACCTTCATCGGATCCAAAGCCTCCATCGTCTGAAATTGATAACCGATTTATTAACAGGACATTCTACGAAGTCACACCTTGTCTCCTCCAGATTTGAACACAATTTGAGGTGTTGTCGGATGCTCGATAGTCGTGGCTCCATTTGACTCGTCCGGTTGTGGCGTCGTTAAACTCGTAGTTTTAGGTCCTGTTTGCTGAGCCGGGGGAGGATTCGATTGGTGGGCATCGATGGGAAAGTTGGAGACCATGTTTTGAACACTGATCGCAGCTCCCTTTCGCTCTCTGTACATTGAGTCAAGCTTCAAAAGAGCGGCTCTAAAAGGACCTTCTTGCATGTAATGGACGGCGACATACTGCTCGTGAACGCAGTCGTCAGGGTTGGCTGAAAAATGATACAATAAAAAAAAAGAGCTTCTAAAAGCTAGTCAAATACCTCTTTTAGCAAAAGTATTTCCAGCGAACAGACGCAGTGCATCATCCGGATGGATACCTATTCCTGTCAAAGCTGCACTCGCCGCATTCATCGATCCAACTGTCGCGGGCACTCGTGGAATCTCTTCTCCATTGTTCATTTTATTGAAAACCGACTTTAGGTACGCTGGATTATCAAGTCCACTCGCCACAGCTGTTAGCGCTTGAATCGCAGACAACGCGTTCTCAATCTGGACTTCTGGAGAGATTCTGAACGAGTTGAATTCGATGGGTCTTCCCACTTTCCGCTCCATTGTCATCCATCCATGAGCAATCGTTTCTGCCCACATTTTGATGTTGGGTACGAGTAGGCCTTGGTACAAACTGTCCATGTCTGCTTTAGATGGCTTTCGAGGGAAATTGATTTGGCCTTCTGGAGTGAATCCGTATGCTTCTTGAATACCTTCAACAGCTTTTTGGAGGAATTCCACGTCTGTTGGGTCGGTGATAATGTCCGAAGATTGATCGATGTTAATCTCGACCATTTGTCTGGAAATATCAAATTTTGGGGTGCATTAATTATGCTGGTAGAAAAAAACCGGAGTTGTGGAAGAGAAAATCTGATGGCCGCGACACCCGGCCGAACTACCGTAGTTAGCAAACACTTTTTTCATGTTTTCTCGATTTTCGTGCATTTTCGTGCATTTCAATTATTACACAAGGACAATAACAGTAAAATTGACGAAAAAAAATCCTGAAAACAAAATTATTTTCAGGTTACTGTAGTTGTCGTTTTGAGATCTTCAGCTCCGATTTTTTTAGCACCAGTATAAAATGAAACTCACTGTTGACACTTGAGCAAATGAGAGAACATATCCGCCTCGGTGCTTGAAAACGGGCGTTCACTACTTGGTTTTCCATTCAACATTGCGAGAATTTGCGACGACTGAAATCTCAGCTAAATTAAAAATATTTTTCTTCATTTTTTGAATGTCTCCTTACCTGTGATTTCTTTTTCTTTTTGTTCGTCTTGCACCTGTTGATTCCTAGCTTCGGCGGACTCTTATCCAGGTCCATGTTTCCTTTGGTGAACTCCACAAGCAGTTTCATCAAATCAAAACTTCCATGCTTCGCTGCCTCCATAAAACAATTAACTCCATCGTCCATTCTTAGCATCGGATCCGCGCCATTCCTTATAAGAAACTGTGCAATATCCATATTTCCGTAGGTGCAAGCTAGAGACAGAGCTGTCGCGTCGTTTTTCGCGGATTTGAAATTCACCGAAGCTCCCTTGTAGACCAAATACTGTACTATATCAAAGTGATTGAATCTCGCCGCTTTCATTATCGCCGTCCGTTCGTCTTGCTCGAAATTCAAATCGGCACCGGCTCGAACCAACTCTTCCACAATTTTCAGACATCCACCTTCCGCTGCAGCAAACAATGCTCGACTCAACTGCTCCTGAGGGATAGTTTTGCAGTGAGCCAGAATGAATTGAACACATTCTAAATGTGTTTCGATGGAAGCTTCAACAATCGGAGTGATCTTTCCCGTAGTCAGATCTGCGCCTTTTTCATACAACATTTTCATGATGGCACTGAAAAAAAGAAGATTAGACACAGTTTTGGAATCTATAGGAACTCACATATTTCCATGTCTCGCAGCCAACGACATCGGCGTATCTCCAGACTCTGGATTCATCGCATTCACATCAGCATGCCTATTAAGTAACATCCGAACTACACTGACTTGATCTCCACTCACACCATCGCACGCTTCTATGAGACACGTATTTTTATGTGGACCAGTCTCATCAATACGGGCTCCAGCGGCGAGAAGAATCTCGACAAGCTCCGGAAATCCACCAGCACATGCGAGCATCATTGGACTTGGCAAATTGGACTTGAATCCTTCGGTTGGGGTTCCTCGCAAAATTAAGAGTTTGCATGCGGCGATTTGACCTTCCATGGCCGCTTCCATAAGCGCACAGTATCGCTCTTCGGCGATCTCTCGTGTTTGCTCTTCGGTTTTCTGTTGATTCTTATCCTGGTAATCCAGAATCACAGTCGCGATGTCCAGGAAGCCTTTCATAGCAGCAAAGATCAGAGGGGAATTGTCCTGAAACAGTCATTTCACAAAGTCAAAATTTTTACCCCTTAAAACTCACATTCTTCGTTTCGTCAGCTTCTTTCAGCGTCTTCGGTTCGTAACCCATCTCCAAAAACAGACTCAACGTATCCAGACTTTCTCCAATAGCAGCTTCCATGATGGCGTCACGATAATAATTGTTTATCAAATAGACATCCACTTTGTGCGGTCCTTCATGCTCCAATATCACCTCGACCATATCTCGATCGTCGGTAGCCGCCGCATAGATCAAAGCTGTGTTACAGTTGGGAACTGATTGAGCGTTCGGATCCATGCCATAGTCTAAAAGGAGTTCGACGATCATTTCGGATGAGCTGGCCGCCGCTTCCATCAATGGGGTGATTCTCGAGAGATGGTTTCCTTCGAATTGCAGTTTTCCGCATTCTTTGGAGAGTATCAGAAATTGTTCGATCTATAAAAAAGGAACATGAGAATTTAGAACTATAGTTACCCTAAAACCTGTATTAGAAGGGCACCTCTAATAGAAGGGCTTTCGTCAAAATTTGTAATTTGAAAGTAAACATTTCCGTAGGTTTTCAATGAAACTTTGTGGAAAAATTGGCCAGGAAAATAGAAGGACCCCCCCCCCCCCCCCTCTAATTGAAGGGCCCCCGTGATAGAAAGACCCTGCGGAGGTACCTTGGAACAATAAAAAGAACGGCTCTACTAATACAGGTTTTACGGTAAACTAGGATAGAAATCACTTACGCCGAGCCTCGTGGCAAGCAGGAGCATTGCGTTTTGTTGCAGTTCTAACGATACAACAGGCGGTTTGTGTCGGTAATTAGGCTTGGATTCGGGTTCCGCGTCTGAAATTTTTATGGTTTCTGTCTTCTTTGAACCCGTCCTAATGGCTAGTTTTAGACACTCACTTTCTAAAGGTATGGGGTCGCGGGCTGTTTCGGGCGATGACATTCTCATAACCTCTTCGGAGAACGAGGTAGCAAGAAAACTGAAAAAGTCAAAATCTATTTTTTTTACAAGAAAATCACTTACTGATAACACATGGACGCCACTGCTGTGACCGTATCAGCGGCCACATCAACCGGGATCTTCTGAGGGTCGGGTGAGTAGGGAAGGAAATCTTCGGGCTTCTCGAGTTTATGATCTTCGAGTAGATCAGAGATTTTGAAAAGGACTTGAGTATCGTCGAGACACCGTTCTTCGATTACATCGATAATATGAGCGACCGGTGGGTACTGAATATCAGCGGAGAGGAGGTGTTCGTGGCCGAGGTGTCTTAGAACTTCGGCGACCGGCATGGAATCTCCATCTTCTTCCATTAGGACAGCGACAGTGCGGAGGCATTCGTAGAGCTGGAATTATAGGTTTTTTAAAAAAATTATCAGGACGAGGCTAGTTAATTTTTTAATTTTCGAATAAATCTCTCATTCATGTGCTCGAAAAATTCGAAAAATTGAAAAAAGTAGTTTTTTCAAGAAAGTGCATGTAATATGAAATTGCATTGCATTCTAAGTATAACACTACAGATTTCATAATCGGAAACGTCCTCGAACTTGAGAAAATCGTTATTTTCGCACCGAAACGACGGGTTGTGGTACTGAAACTCGTATAACTCGGATTCTAAAATTTTGAACAGATTCTAAAATTTTCAGAAATGTCTAATTGTTCAAATTTTGAAAGTTTTTTTTTCGTTTGAAAACTGAATATAAATTTAGAATCGTTATTTGTGAAATTACCAAATTTTTAACAAGATTTCGTCTGAAGACACGATTTCATATTTTGAAATTCAAAAATCGAATTTTTCGTTTTTTCATATAATTTTTCGCAAAAAAAAACTCCTACCTTTGCACCAAAGTGATAAAACGTCGAGAAGGCTCGAAGACGTTTCTCCTCGTAGTCAGGATTCTCCTCGTTATGCAGATCCATTTCGAATGGGATTAAATGATCGAAGGCGATTAGATGCGCCATCGTTCCTCTAGTTGGAGTATCGTTGTGGCTTCGTTTCTGAAAAAATCAAAAAATATTCTTTAATGGATTCTGAATCTTAGAACAACGATCACGAGAAGAATAGAAGCTTACAGAAGAAGGCTTGCTTCGCGAACAACAACATTTTGGGCAATTATCGTGGTCTTGGAGAGCAGAAGAGAGCTGGAATCAGGATTTGCCAATCCTTTCAATTCAATTTATTCAGTTACCTCCGCGCTTTTAGGATTCGCATCACTCATTTCAGGTGTGAGGAGAAGTTAGAAACACACAGAGAGACGCCTGTAAACTAGCCAGATGAAATATGGGGTAAAGACGAAGTAGAACGAGATTTCCAAGTGTTGAAAATGGAGCTAATTGGTGAAAATTGAGCTAATTCGTATAGTCGTAGGCTCATGCGTAACGACACCACTGCATTCAGAAAAAAAAAGCTAAATGAATAAAAGCGGAGAGAAAAATCTGACAGGTGACGGAGGGGGTTCCTCTTTGGAGGAGTTCTTCTAATCCATAATTTCGGCATAGGTTTCGAAAAAGGAAACTAATCGGCGTCGTTTCGTTGAAGTCATCTGAAAAATGTAGAAGAGAGGCTAGATGAAGACGAAGAAGACGTTCTTTTTTTTTCGGAGAAGGCGCGTGACTACACCCCTTCTTTTTTTCCTTCCTTCCTCCGCATCCTTTTGCATATACTATCGGAACAAACGGCATGGTAACGTGGGCGGCGGTGGCCGCTGGCTGCGCAAGAAGGACGACGAACGACGACAAATGAAGAAAACATGACGACGGCGACATGCAGAGAGAGAAAGGGCATCAATTTGTGATACTTTGAGAAGATGAATATCGATTTGTCTATATTTAGCTTATTAAGCAAAAAGAAGCAATAGTAAGCAGCAATTAAATAAATGCGACACAGTTCCAAAAGTCTCGAATTTTTAGGGTTAAAGTTGAAGCATTACAGAAGGAAGGCTTGACTCTCGATACTGTTGAAAAACACACCACGAAACTGAAAGAACCTCTCAAAAATTTTATAAAATAAAAAATCTTCGATCGAAGAGAATTCACATAACTTTCAGGGACCACTACATCAAAACTAGACACTATTGACATTCTTCACGATTACGCAAGCACGATAACAAGTCAGCCCACATTTTTAAGACTGAAAATATGGCCTAAATTTCCGGTTTCGATTTTTTTAAAAGAAAAGTCGTGGAAAATTTGCAAAACGAAAAAAATCGAGAATTGCGCCAGCCGGAGTACTGGCGCCGGAAGGGGAGAAGTGAAGGCGCGAAACGCGCTCGCTTTTTATAAAAATAGAGGGAAGTTCGAAAATTCAAAAATCGAGGTTTTGAGTGAAATATGAAAATTTTCATTGAAGAAATAATGAAATCAGTTCATTTTAGTCAAAATCAAGTTGTTGATGCCTGAAATTAAACTGACAATTAGGTTAAAATCTTATAAATCATTCTGAAAGCACAAGGGCGTGATAATATCAACGAAAAAACGTTTTTCGTTCATTTTGAATTTTAATTTTTCCAATCCAATACAAATCGGTTCAATCTAAAAATCAAAGATGCAGAAAAAGAAAGTTGAAAATTCAAATGTAAGCAATTGAAAGATTCAGAGAATTTGAAAGAAAAACATTTTTTTCCAAAGCTGGCACTGGATAAAGATTTCAACATTGATCGATTGTTGCCGAGAGAGTTGATTGACCATTATATGATTCGGAAACCAATTGGAGTTAGAGTGCACAAGCAGGACTGTCGGGTAACACACGGACATCTGGATACACAGACACAGACTGTTCTAGATCACTCATGTTCTTCCCGAGTCGACGCTCATTGGAAAAGCTTTTTTAGGCGATTGTATCGTTGGAATTGATGAAAAAGTGATAACCAATGGAGACGAGTTGCATGCGAAACTCAAGGAGAAAACCGAGGTTTTTCTTATTATGGATGAAAAATTCTTCCACAGCTTTCGTACCAGCATACTGTGAAACTTTGTAATAGAAGGGCCCCACACCATCTAGTTTGAGCTCAATTACCTCGGCTCCTATAAGAAATATCAAAAATGGGTCAACTGATAAAATAATGGTGATATTATGAAGAATAATTTCTCAGTTGACAACTTTTTCATCTTTCACAGGAACAGAGATAAATTATCTCAAAGTTAGGGGGCCCTTCTATTACAGACTTTACGTAATAAAACGTCTCTAGAACGTCCACCTTCAAATAAAACGTAACATGTTTTCCTGGTGTTTCCATATTCGGACAACAGTCGAGAAGATCCAGATTGATCGAGACGTTGAGAGAATCACACCAAACCCGGTGAATCATTATTTTGTAAGAAGAGAATGAGCAAGTGCGCTCTGTGGAAAAAAATTTTTTAGGTTCTTGTCAAAGTTCGACCAACACCTGAAATGCAGATTTTCGATTTGGGGTTGTTTGTCAAGTACAATAATAGAGATCGTTTAGAGGTGAGGGGTCAGGTTCCTAAAAATTCGTGGATTTCTAGATTTACGGATTGAAAAATTGCATTTCAGGTCGACTATGTCACTCCCAACAGTCTTGCTTCAATCCATTTGAAAGCCGGAGACGTGATTCGCGAAGTGAACACCCAACAAATTTGCTCGAAAAGTATGCTCCGTTACCATATCGCCAGTAGCATCGGATCCCACGGACTCTTCACTCTTCTCATTGAATCTCCGATTCGTGACACCGTCAGAGATCATATTGATTTGGCAGACGACGTGGTGGGAATTGCTGATAAGGCTGCCGAAGAGTTTCGAAAACTGGGAAAGGGATACGTTCCACAACCACCTAAGAACCCGAATCACAAGAAGAAAAATAAGAATATCAAGTTGAAAGAGGAGAAAACCGAACATCATATTGTCAGTGATATTGATCCATCAAAGTTGAGACCGTGTAAAAATGCAAGCTGATTTGAACTGTCTATTTTCCCTTTTTCAGTTTTAAAATATAAAGATTGGAGTTACAGTTTTTTTTTCGATTTTTACTGTTTTTTAGATTTTTACCCACATAAGGTTCATATTCATAGAAGGGATTCATAAAACCTGTAACAGAAGAGCCCCTAACTTTTAACTTTGAGCCAGTTTATTCCGGTTCCTGTAGAAGATCTGAAAAAGTTGTCAACTAATAAATTGTTTATCATAATATTAGAAGTATTTTAATTGTTGACACATTTTTCATATCTCTCACAGGAATTCGAGATAATTGAGCTCAAACTTAAAAGTGTGGGGAGCTTTCTATTAAAATGCATTACATTCAAAAGAGATCTTTGATATACAAATTCAAGCTTTCTGATGCGATAATTGCTGTTTTGAAAAGGTACATCATACGTGTGTTAGTATGAGAAAACTCGTAGAATGTTTCGAGGTCAAGATAATGAGGCAGGAAAGAAAGTCAAGAAAAGAAGAGGGACCAACTTTATTTTGTTTCAGCAATAGTCTTTGTTTTTTAGGGTGGCGCATAATTACCCGGATTGAAGTTTCATAGAATCAACTAATAGCATAAAATGTTATGCTAAATTTATGCATATAAAGAGAGGGAATTTTAAGCTGGTGCGCCTTCGGCGCGATTCAATCTATTTTTTGGGCCGTGGCTCCGTTTCTCAATTATTCTTAAAGGGTCACGTAAATTTTTTTTCCAGCTTTTCAAAAGTCGAAAGAGTGACAACGGGACAGACAGACTCCTCTAGCGTTTTATGTATTGCATTCAAAATCGGAGCTGTGGAGGAGAAAAGAAAACAAATTCGGAAGATAGAAATATTTTCAGGTTACTGTAGTTGTCGTTGCGGAATCTTCTTCCACGGCCACATTCAAGCAATGTTTGTCTGGCTGATCAGCACACATTTTTCGCGTAGTTCTCATTTTTTTTTGTTGTTGACACAAATCAACTTTTCTCGTTCAATCAATATTGTTGACACTTCGTTGGAATTTTTTGAAAGTTGATTGATAAATAGTGTTATTCCCAATCATAGTTTCCCTCCAATTCGTGTAATTGCGGATTTGCTTTCGAAACGAGAAATATGCAACCTAATATTGAGTGAGTTTGTGTCCACCGCTACATCTTCTGGAGGCAAGCACTTGCAGGGCAACCCGTCAACTGCACGAGCGAGTAGCCGAGGTATTCGGTCACAATCTGTCCAGCAACAAGCCAGTCAATGTGACGAATTCCCAGTACGCGAATCTCGTCGAACTACAGCTCGCATCGAAGCCAACGCTCTCCAGCGAGAACTCACACCTCTTCATCCCTCCATTCTTCGATCATAGCCACGTGGCAACGATTGATAAGGTTGATGTGACAACGGAGATTCAGAATAACACTCCGGCGATGATCTATCAAATCAAGTGGACCGAAAAGGCCCCCAAGTCGACGTCATCTTCTTCAGAATCATCATCTGGATCCGTTAGAAAAGTGCCTGTTCGTCAGTGTTTCTCCTCTAATTCTTCTGCGTCTTCCACGTCTTCTGCTGCTTCGTCAGACTCGTCGGAAGCGGATTCCGAGCCAGTTCCGTTGGTGAAGAAGGCGTCGTCAATGATAAAAATTTGTGGAAAAATCCGTTGTGACGGTCCTTGTGCTCAAATCGTCGAACAGACGAAAACCATGCAGTTCGGATGTGATCATGTGATCTGTGAGATGTGTCGTAAGAAATCGCCAAGTGCCGCACTTTTCGATGGTTCCCCGGGATGTTGTAACGAGAGTTGTATCAAGATGGCCAAGGAGAATGGGGATAAGTTGTGTGTTGGACAATCGGATTCGCAGGTGTCGATTTGTTCGGTGAGCATATCTCATTCAAATTAGAAGCTACAAAGAATTGTTATTTTTTTATCATATAGCTTTAGTGGATCTTCATTTTTGTAGTTGACAACTTTTTCGTATCTACAGTAGTTTTTGAGGTACGAGCCTTCAAAGTTGGCGTGCACTCTTCGCTTAACAGGAGGCGCGGAAACTTTAAAGGCTCATATCTCGAAAACTACAGTAGCTAGAAAAAAGTTACCAATTACAAAATTGTGTAACATTTTATTTTTTACATTTTTTTAGTTGACAACTTTTTTGTAAATTTTTTAGTTTTCGAGTTATTCGCCTATAAAAAAGTGGTACCTTTCGGTGGCAAGCGCCGATGCGTCCAATTTTCAAAGACACATATCTCAAGAACTACTGTAGCTACAAAAAAGTTGTCAACTACAAAAATGTAGCTCTGGTTTTGTTTAGTAGTTTCTAAAAATTACAGAGAGTTGACGCTGTTGAATCCATCCCAACTCATATTTGTATTCTCAAGAACTATCGTCATGACGTTCTTCGAACTGTGATGGAGTTTGAGTATCCGTCAAACGGACGTCTTCAGATGATTGTCAAAAGTTTGGCGTATTATAAGTAAGTTTAGCTTGGCTTACAGTGTCATGACTTCTACTAGGGATATCAGGAAATTTCACATTTTTCTAATTGACCTAGATTTTCTAGTTGACCTAGATAACCGATTTCTCCTACCTTCCGAGTTTGAATCCTTAATTTCTTCCAGTATTACCCGTTATTGATATATTTGCTCCCTATTTTTCTTTTTCTACCGGTTACATCTTTCCTGTGTCAATTATCTAAATTATCCCGTTTCCCCTCCCCTACTCAGATCGGCCTCGTGAGGGGCATTTTTCTGAGTCTTTCATGTCCTGCCCTCTAATGTTTTATTACACTTGATCAATAAACAAATTAAATTAAATTAAATCAGGTCCTTTAAAAAATGTATTATTGCAGAGACCTAATTGGCAACTCTCGTTTTTACTACTGTAGCCGCAAACCGACTCATCGTTCGGATCTCCGTCCAATCTCACTGACTGATACGAATCTTCGCTTTTACGATATTGTCGATATGAAAAATGGACCATACTTGTATCTCATTATTGTCGCTCGGGATATTCAATTTTGTTGAACTCCTTATTTCTGAATGAACCTCTTTGAATGAAGATTTTTTGTGGCAGAGAATTTTTTAAACTTTTATAAGGAACATTTTTCTAGCTTATCTGGGAAATGAGATAATTGACAAGGGAAGGTTTTTCAGACAACGGTTGAGAATTTGCTCAAAATTTGTACAAAGGTACTTTCGAACATGCTGAATCCGAATCCAAAAAAAATTTTCAGCCCGTTCTCAAAAGGAGCCAAAATATGGCCTCTGAAAGTGCTTCTAGTACTAAATTTTGGCCAAAAACATGCATTTTTCGAGGTTAAAAATTAATTTTTCAGGATTTGCTTGAGTGCGAAACTCATTTTTGGACATTTTTCTATCTTCTAAAGTAACTTTCAAACATTTTCAAAAAAAAAGTTTTTATTGAAAAATTTTGAAAAAAATCACCATGGGGTCCCCCACACTTTGAAAATGATTTTTTGAAATTTTTTTTGAAAAGTGCGAAAAAACGTTCCAATTATTCAGAAACGATAAAAATAGCATTCTGACAAATTTTTTCAGCCCAATGTTGTCTTTGGGCTCAAAAAATCTCCAAAATCTGATTGTTGTTAGAACTTTGACAGTTCCTAATTTCTGAAATATCGCTTGAACTTAACTGAAACCTATAGAAACAGGTACGAATCTTGTATGTGATCGATTTGACAGTACTCCACCTCAAAAAGAGCAAAATTGAGCAACTTTCAGAGACTGAAATTTTCGTTTTTAACGATACGAGGATGTAAGAACCGGTCGAATAGACCATAATCTATTTTTTCCTCAAACTCTCATGAAATCTTTTTTTTCTTTGAAAACTTTTGAAATTAATCAAAAAGTGTCATATAGTGCCTAGGGGGGCAAACTTGGAATCAAAATCGTTTCAAAAAATGCAAAAAAAAGTTTTGACCACAGTGGGGGTCGAACCAGCATAGTCACTCCTAATAACACAGGTCCTGGGCGCGCATACGCATAATGGATGGGCGACGGAGGACGCGCCGATGAATTGGGTACAGGGAAAGGACGCCGGTATGGGGCATATACGGGGCATATGGGGCACACCGCCGCCGCAAAGCATCTCCTCGCCTGGCTTGCTGGCACTCGATGAAATGAACTAAAACGTTGGTTGGGGGTTCCTAGAAGTATCAGTTAAGTTCTATTGTGATGTGATTTTGTTCAGGTCTTCCGATTTCGTACTTTTCCTTTATTATTCCATATTTTTTTATATTTTGAACGACATATTACTGATTTTTCGAAACTCAATGTTTTGGTTTTGAAAAAGATTTATGGCAGTTTCTATTTAAATTTGATATGCAATCAAAAACAGAAGAAAATGGGAAAAAATTCGCTAAAAATTGTTTTTTTTTTCATTTGTTCAAAAAATATGTCTCACTTTCACTTTTTTTGAAATTGCATGAAAAATTGAAAATTTTTATAATTTACACTTTGTAATTATTGTATACTTACCAACTTACCTTTTACTCCACCTGAAAATACGATTTTTACAATAACTACAAAGTGAAATAAAAAAATCTCAATATCACCTATTTTGGCGAAAAACATAGCAATTAACGAGTGAAAGACATGTTTCTGCAAGAATTCAGCGATTTTTTAGTCTGCCATAACTCTTTTTCACAAAAAACATCGAAGTAATAATCGAAAAACCAGAAATGTAGGCTCGAATTGACGAAAAATTGACAAAGTTGCCGGTGTGGATTTACGGTAAACAATGCGCGCATCCGGGATTTCGGAGTGTTGTAGTCGGCCTACCGTATCAGACCCATATCGCACACATCGCCCACCCACCTAGAATCCATCTAGGATACGCGCGCATTCGGAACACTCGATTCAGCCTCTCCCGCATCACACACATATGAGACTCATCGCAGCTCATTGTTCGCGATATGTGTCAAACGGACTTCTAGAGGATCGCATATGGATCGGGTCCTTTATGCGCATCATCGCCCAGGACCTGTGAAGCCTCCTTTTACCACAACACTACACAACCGATATTTTCCTCTCACGCGGAATTGGTAGAGGAGGGAGGGGAAGTTGAAATCCCCAGCGCACCGAAATCGGCCCAAATTTTCAGACAAAGTTTTTCGGCCTGGGAGTGAGAATGGGCTAAAAATTTTTTCGTCATCGTATAGAGCATGTCTTAAACTATAAGTATTCAAATTTTGAGCAAATTCTCAATCGTTGTCTAAAAAACCTTCCCTTGTGAGGTTAAAGTGTGACAGTCTGCCGAGTCGTCTCCGCTCCAGGAAGGAGAGAGGGACCCCACAACTTTGCACCTTATCTATGTTCCTATGAAAGATACCAAAAAGACCTGAAAAAATGTGGATAATTTTATGAGGAACATTTTTTTAGTTGACTATTTTGGAATAGTTTTTCTAGGAAGCGAGATATTTAATTCAAAAGACTAGCTATGCAAAAGCGCTCTATTGAAAGGCGCGATCGCCAATGAAAATGTTTGAAGAAGGTGTATTCCTGCTGCACGGTGAATTCTCCGGAACGTTTTTCGAAATAAATTTTTTCGCGCTCTTTTCATTTTTGGTCGCAATTTCGCTGTGTAGCGACTCAGTAATTCATTTTTTAGCATGCGCGTCAATACTCAGCGCGCTTAACTACAGTAGTCAAGTCACTGATATTGAAGAAACGAACACAAAAACAAGAATATGGTAGGTGTTCAAAAACAAATTGAAAACTTAGAAATATTTCCCAGTCATCAGTGGTTTAACACTCGCATTCGTCAGTATATGATTTTGGAAATCTTCTTTGTAATATCTCTGATTATGATTCTCTCCAGGTTTCAAACTATATCTAATCAGAACGAGCGGGTTTTGGAAATGGTAAATTGTGAATTGATATTCTCATTTGAATAATTATTGTATGTAGGTTAAATCAATGCAGTCTCAAATTGGTACTATGGAAAGAAAATTAGATTCGCTAGTTTTTCTAAAATCAAATCAAGAAATAAACCAGTTTGAGGGTACAATTGCTGATGCACTCAAGAATATTAAATTTCCAACACAAGATTCATCAGACAAAGTGGGGCCAATCATCATTCCGCAAATAAACCGATCCATATCTAAAACTGAGGAGAGTGATCTCAAAATTCCTATCCCCAAAGAACAATTCAGATTAAATGCAGCTGATTTTATAAAGGGAGCATCTGTGGACATTGCTCATTCTTCCAGTTCAAGTTTGAATCCAATAACTGGATATGATCAAACTAATCTTGTTTTACTTGATCGTCTTCAATCACCATCCGATAAAGCGTGGTGTACAAATGCGGAGAATCCAGTACTCACTATCAATTTGGCCAAGTATATCAAATCAATTTCTGTATCATATCAACATTCTAAATGGCATAGAATAATTCCGAATGGGTCTCCCAAAACATATGATGTAGTGGTGAGTTGACTTTTCCGGTTTAAGTTTATCAGAATATTGTTCAGGCTTGTCTTGACTTTTACTGCGAAAAATGGGAACCATTAGTATCCAATTGTGAATAGAGCCAATATGATTCAAATGAACAGATGTGCAACATTTCTACTCATCTGGATGTTCCTTCGATTGGAAAAGTCCAATTTCGATTCCGTGAAAATTATGGGGACACAAAAATGACTTGTGTTCACTTGGTTCGTGTTTATGGAGAGACGAAGACACCTTCGAAAATTGAAGAGAAGAATTTGGAAAGTGAAGAAATTTGTGCTGATTTCAGATGGTATTATCATAACAGCTACTTCAGATATACATGGGTAAATGGAGTTTTAATCTACACTGAATACAAATGGTTTTTTTCAGACGGATAAAAACTGTACAGCATACTTGTAAAATTCCGGGCCGGCCCGCCAAAGCCCGGGCCTGAGGAAAATTTTGAGGCCCGGGCCCGGCCCGGAAGACCCGGTAGCAAAAATTTTGTCATTTTGAACCGAATTTTGAGCTCTCAATACAATTTTCTATATTTTTTTGTGCTTTTTGGATTGTTTGTCTGTTTGATCAAAAAATATCAAAAAAATTTTTTGATCGAAAAAAAATCACATAAGGGTCCCCCCTTATGTGTTTTTTGAAAATTTCAAAACTTGTGGAATGAAAGGCCCGCCGGGCCGGGCCGGGCTCGGGCCGTGCCGGGCCATGCCTCCGAAATTCCGAAAAAAGCCCGGCTCGTTACAAGTATGCTGTACAGTACTCTATGAAAATAATTGTTGCTCCGATTGTCCCGAATGCTGCGAAGTATGTTTGATATCTGATTATAACGGAAAAACCTTCAGAATCATTTTCCTAACCATAATTTGTACATCGTTTGTCATTGGTTTGGTTGCACTCTTAATATTGTTTGAAACTCGAACCACGAACACATTAGCTAGGTATCTGGATCGTTTTCCAAACGGTGATGAGTAGATTTTGCTAGGAGCATAAAAGATGCATGCCTGATGCGGTTTCATGCCGAGATGTTATGTA